CTGGACACGTGTTTTCGCATCTAAAAAGTGCCTTCCTCTCCCTACCTGGTTCCCATGCCACCAAGTACACTTCCCTCAGTAGAAGTCGTTGAATGGAATAACTTCCCTTCTTTTGCTCCTTCTACGCACATTTTGGGGCAGCTCGTCCTCGTAGGGCCTCTTCAGTTCTTGAAATTTTTGTGCCTGAGACTTATTTCCCCAAGTTATAGTGCCACTGCTGCTATCTCGTCTGCCTTGTAACAAGCTATCCTCTTTCTCCCACCCTCATATTACATACGAAACCGAAATCCTGAATGCTTTCACTGAGCAGTTGAAAGTCTTTCCTTCCGCCATCCGCTTATTGCTCCCCGCTCAATTTGTGGGCTACAGCACGACGATGCATCGAATGGGTGACTCGGATTAGTAGAATTGTGACCCGCCAAATCCTACTGGGTCGTATCATCACTCCGATGGGTAGTGATTAGTGAGAAGTGCCCGTCAGGTGGCGCAATTACTGATTGACGAAGGTTGGAGGTTTGTGTTTCACTGAACTCCTGTGACAACAGCCCTTGCAGTTCGAATGCTCCTACCAGTGATACAAGAGTACTCGTAAAATTTGCACTCAAAACGACGCACAAGGCGGCCGGATCATGTGTCTGCTTTGTATGCACGACCGTTTCTTAATGAATTTCATACGAAAAAAGGCGACTTGTGAGTGAGGCTGGGAAACTGCGCAACTAAAAGTTCACCGATAAGCGCTTGCGTACTTGCCATCGCCTTCCATGAACGGGTGCCACCTCGGAGCCACGAAGGTAGCCGCCCTGGGCAGGCGAATAATAGCAAAGGTGGCACCTCAAACGCTGCATTAGGCAGCCACAAGGGAGAGCAAAATGTGGTGCACCAACCTGATCATGCGTTTCATGATGATGAATCTCGCATTCGGCAATGTGCGGATCCACTCCATGTGGACGCTGAAAACGATTTAAGTAGTTTCACCAAGTGGGCGGAAAATTGGTTTGATACACTTCTACAGGGTGGTAGGAGAAATGTAACCACCACCGATCACACGCTTCATTGTTCTAAAGTGTCACCGATTGCAGCGTTGCTGTTCAAAAAGCTCCAGTGGGAATTATTCCTCATTTATTTTATTTTTTTTAAATTGACCAGTCGTTTTATGGTGCGATTTTGTGCAGCGATTTATCCTAGACCGGTAAGGGGCGCATCAAAGAGTTTTGCATGGTGTATCGCATGTACTTTAATCCCACAGTATGGGTTCGTCCCTCTTTAAACTCCCCTTCAGATTGCATCCCTCTGTCGCGCCGCCATAGTAAGGCGCGGATGGAGCGATGAATATGGCTGGGAGGTCATGCCTTAAACGAAAAGTGGCGACCGTGAAAAACTGAACAGTCGATGCAGTTAGAGCACCTTAGAGGTGGCTCATGCTCGATCACCTCCCTTTTGTGATTGTTATTTCTTTTTGGCCACCTTTTAGTTCGGAGTCAGAGCCTCTACCTGCCCGGTGCTGTGACAGCAGCATTCGCTGCCTATCTTACCTGGTCCGCCGTCATGAGTCAACCGAAAAGTGAGTTCTTGCGTACTTGTTTGATCAAAACATCAGGTTTATTTAATCATTTAAAAAAGAAGAGTTGTTTTTTTTATTCTGCTGCTCCTAGTACCTTACTTCTCCCAAGCTTTTTATAACTGTCCTCCCGAACCTCTCCGGAGGCATGGAAGGAGGTTTACTGCCAGAGCATGGCGGTCCCGCTAGGCCGTAGGCATGGTAGAGGTACAAACCGTGACGATTGAAGGGCTTCGCGTAAGTAAATACACTGTCAAGTGTTTTGGCTGTTGGAAGTCCACTCTTGGAGATGACTGTGGACTTCAACAATGAAAAGGACCAGAATGTCAAGGTGTCAGTTCTAGTAGAAAACCCAGATTTTATTTAACTACTTTATTTTGAACCCGGAAACAGCTACGCCAGATGCGTCACCGCTTGTTGTTGTTTGCCAAACAGTGCGACATTATGTCCCCTCCTTTTTTTAACTCGAAAACGGAATCTATATTCGCACCTTCTCCGCCTACTCCATCAACAAGACCCTTTTTGCGTCTTAGGGCGTCGATTCTCCATCTTCACATCTGAAAGTGTTTGTACTTTCAACTGGTGGTGGAAAAGGTCACCTTTTTTGGCCCATTTTTAACATTTACTAGTTGAGAGGAATTAAGGCTTGAAAAAAAAAACATCTACCGTCGCGTCCCGAGTCTTACCTGCATTTGGTGGAAGGCATAGTTTTAGGGCTGCGAGGCCACTGGCACGGCGCGGATACGCAATACGTGGACCTTCAACTGCCTGCGTAACCGAAACCCGAGAGTTTGTTCGTCAGGGGAGGTGACTGCAAATTCTACGCATCTTTTCTCTGTTAGAACCTTTGAAGTTGAAAAGTCTTCCATGCGGTTTATAGAAGTTACACCAATGATTTTTAATGTTGTGCCGATTACAACGAGTTGGTAGTACAGACGTGCATCAATCCATCTTCCTTCTCTTGCCTTCAACCCACCCACGCCTAATAAAGTTACGGTTGAACTGAATGCAGGTGGTTTGAACACGTCTGCCTAGCACCCTTCGATTGGAGTTGTGAGAGGGCTTTTGCGGTGACCGAGCAAATACATCCTTGGTTAGTCTTGAATACTCCACTCCCAACTTTTCGTCACAATTTTCCTGGTGGGGACCAAGTATTACCCAGAGCCTAGATCTGCCTTCTAGTGGAAGGCTTTCTCCTTCTCCCGGGCGACAGGCGAAAGGACGCTCGATTTCATACCGCCTGTCAAGAAAGGTTTATTGTTCCCTTAAGGTTCCTTTCAAAATCCCACCAATTCTATCAAGCATCATCCTGTCTGTTGGTAAATAAATTAAATAACTCCCAACTCCCTTCTACCATCATAGGTGTCGTTCGAGGTGTACCAGTGGAGAAGCAGGCCATCCAATTCTTCAATCTACGTCTCCACAGCAATCTCAGTGCGTCGCATAAACTGGCGATGAATCGGACGGGTTTGCTGATGGACAACGTCTGTCTGCCCGCCATTCTGCATGGGCCCTCAGCGCTGGATCACATCTCCGACCTCTTTGCGGCGTTGGGTATCATTTTGGTCGTTGGTGGATCCATCTACTCTAGGTTCGAGGCGTTTTTAGTTGTTTTAAAACTTCGATGATTAGACTGCTGAAATGCATTCGTATTAACTGGTTGGTCCCCTGCCCTGTCTGATTGCCCCATACACCTGTTAGAAGTGTGCTGTGACTGGACTGATAGCTCCTCAAAGGTTAGCTACTACGAACACGGGTAATTGAAGTCGCCAGGGCAGTCTTTGCTTCACGGCTACCAGACACGTACACGCTGTCCGTACCTCCTCCGTGAAAAGGGGTCCGCTTCGAAATCCTTATCTA